TGACAAAGCAAAACAGGGTCTGTCCCCTTCTGACTAGCTTGATAAGTTCTGCCTTGGCCCTTCCTTTTTCAGACGCATTTCCTGTTTTACGCTCTTGTACGCTGTGTTCAATCCAACTCATCCCTGAGTTGAGCTTTCAGCAAATATTTGGTCTTTTGAATTTCATCATCTGTTCTCACCACATAGAGTTTGTTTTTAGATAATAGGAAGAGAAGAAGATGTTTTCCAATGTGCACTACTAGGCTTTCACAATTGAGAACATGATTAGCTGAAATTGGCCTTGGATGATGGCATGCCAACCCCGCCTGTCATGAAACTGATATTAGATGCTACAGACCCTACATGCAGAAGGCTTCACAAATCCTTAACCCAATCATACAAGGCAAGTTTTGATGTATCACATTTTTATTTTTTATTTATTTATTTTTGAGTTGGGGTGTCACACTATCACCCAGGCTGGGGTACCATGGCACGATCATGACTCACCCAGCCTCAACCTCCTAGACTCAGGTGATCCTCCCACCTCAACCACCCAAATAGCTGGGACTACAAGCTCACAACACAGGCTTTTTTTTTTTTTTGAGAAACAAATTCTCGCTTTGCTGCCCAGGCTGATCTTGAACTCCTGGGCTCACGGGATCCTCTTGCCTCAGCTTACCAAAATGCTAGGCTTGACCAGGCACAGTGGCTCATGCCTCTAATCCCAGCACTTTGGGAGACTGAGATAAGAGAATTGCCTGAGCCCAGAGGTTCCAGACAAGACTGGGCAATTTGGTGAGACTTTTCTCTACACTAAATACAAAAAAAATCAGCCAGGAGTGGTGGCACACACCTATAGTTCCAGCTACTTGGAAGACTGAGGCATAAGGATTGCCTGAGCATAGCAGGTCAAGGCTGGTGGCCGTGAGTGTGACTGGGTGACAGAGTGAGACGCTGACTCAAAAAAAAAAATCAAGCTAGGTTTACTTAAAACATAAATCTCGCCCCAAATCGCAGCGTTATTCAGGGTTGGAAATGGAATTCAAGGCAGGACTGATTGATTTCAATGCCCATTCTCTCTCCATAAAGCTCTTCTAAAAATTCTCTCTGGATTTCTCCTTTCATGCCCAGCACACATGTCTTCGCTTAATTTGTTTCCTTATTGTCTGTCTGCAATAATCCCAGCCACCTCCTGGCCACTCCTTTTCTCTGCCTGTCTCATTTATCTGATTGAATTCAAGCTCTACAGGGAGCTGGGGTGAGTGGGTGACGGTTACAGGAATACTTGACAATGTGTTTCAACTTTGCCAGCAAACTTGAATTTCCTACCTTGCATTTATTTGACTGTGGGGACCAAAGCTCAGGGAAGACGTGGAAGGGCTCCTGGCACCAGGTCTTGCTTAGAATGGCCGCCCTGCCTCACAGAGGTACAGACCAAATAACACTGATGACAAAGGTGGAAGGTGACAGGTGACAGGGACGCAGGTGAAATCCCTGGCAAAGGACCAGGTGCCTTAAGCAAAAAGCCCAAATGCAAAATTTCCTCAGCGATGCTCAAGTGTGATAGCTATCAAAGCATCACTGCTATGGAAATTCCACAGGAAACTCAGTTTTGCTGATGTGAAATTGAAACCTCTAACGCCTTAAGCTCTCTTTTTCCTCACTGGAACAGTTGTTTTTATAATGGGATTTTGCTTTTATTTTGTTTCTGTTCACTTTGTTTTGAACATGATGACAGACAGTTGCATTTCACCGTCTTCATCTTGAATTAGACATAAACTCCCAAACCTCTCGGTAGACCCACAACCTGTCTCAAGGTTCTGTTATTACCACAGAGGACACATGCTGTGTCTCTCATTTCAACACTTGTTTTTCATAAGGACACAGTGGCCGCCCACCCAGCTGCTTCCCACAAATCAAGTTTCTTTTTGCCTGGGTCCTTCCGGGGCCCGTTTTTAAGAATATAGTAAGGTCAGGCACGGTGGCTTATGCCTATAATCCCAGCAATTTGAGAGGCCGAGGTGAGAAGATTGCCTGAGCCCATGGGTTCAAGACCCACCTGGGCAACATGGCAATACCTCTACAATAAATCAAGAAAAATTAGCCGGGCGTGGTGTCGCATGCCTATAGTTCTAGCCACTTGGAAGGCTGAGGCAGAAAGATCGCCTGAGCCCAGTAGATCAAGGCTTTAGTGGCTGTGAGTGTGCCACTGCACTCCAGCCTGAGCAACAGAGTGGCACTCCAACTCAAAAAATAAAGAGAAAAGAATATAGTAGGGCATGTGTCTCTCCACATTTGCATTCAATAAGCCTGAGTTGAGCATCCTTTAAAGGACAGGCAAGGCACAGGCTCCAAGACACGGAAGACATGTGTGCTCCCAGCTCACAACTGGGTGGGGAGACAGACATTCCCCTGACACTGACAACTGCACAAATGAAAAGGCACAACCTGGGGACACTGCACCAATGAAAGGGGCTGAGAAGGGATATTAGCACCGTGGGAAGGCTAAGCCTCCTCTCTAGGGCCTCTGGGGAGATGACTCTGGAGTTGACGGAGGTGGCAGAATGCGGGGGGGAGTGTTCCAGGCAAAGCGAATGGCCTATTCAGATGCTCTGAGGACCAGGGAGTTTGGCATGTTCGAGAAAGGCCCATCACACCTAGTAGAGGCAGTGGAGTGCCGTGTTAACGAACGGCCCTTTCCTAGTTGGGGACCGCTAGTCCAGGAAGAGCCATCTCCATCTTGAAGGTGTCTTCCAACCCCTCATTCTCCAGACTAGGAAACCCAGGCTCAAGCAGGGAAGGGCACATCACATCAGCCTCAGCTTCTGAACGGACTTGCCAGGAAGCTCAGCAAACCCTACGCCTTGGACTCCCTCCCTTGTGGGGTCTGTCATTCATTTTGTATTTGCGATGTTGTATTTCTTTCTTAAAGAGGGCCTCCAAAAGTTACATCAGCATCTTGCGCCCCCAAATCTGGACCTGTCTCTCATGAGAACTCCGGACTTCTGGCTTCAAACCCAACACAATTTTGACGCTGGCTCTAATGTCTGGGGCAGGGTCTGGGCCACCCACGGAAGAATCCCCTTTTTGAAGTCAGTGAGGTAGAGTGTGACGGGGATGCCCTTCCCCAGGCCCTGCGTGCGATGGGTCGGAGGCCAGGCCGATCAGCCCTTCCATACCAACACTGCTGTTTCTCAGAAGCCCTGACCTCTTTTCAAGACACGTAAGGCCTCCAAAGATCACTTTTGGTTTCCAGCTCACACCCAGGAACTCTTGCTTTTACGTGGTTTATTATCTGTGACTCAGCTTCCCCAAGTGAACGGTCTATCTATATCTATCTACCCATATGTTTTTTTAGTAGGAGTCTCACTTCATCGCCCAGGCTGGAGTGCAGTGGCATAGTCATGGCTCACTGCACCCTCTACCTCCTGGTCTCAAGAAATCCTCTCTTCTCAGCCTCCAGTAGCTGTGGCCACAGCTGTATACTACCACGCCCAGCTAATTTTTTGATTTTTTTTATAAAGACAAGGTCTCGTTGTGTTACTCAGGCTGGGCTCAAGCAATCCTCCTGCCTCAACCTCCCAAGGTAGAGGGATTGCCAGCGTGATCCATGGCGCCTGGCCTGAACAATAAATGTTTGTGTATGCTATTCTACTGGGATCACTTGTTTCTGATACATTCATCGACTGACAATTGAACCCTATCCACAACCGCATCCCTCTCTCTCCCTCACTGTGGGACGTACTCTCTCTTTAGACTCAGTCTGTCTAAGAGACTCAGAGACGGTAGAACATATGAGTTGTAAGAAGCAGATCTGGAGTCCCAGCAGAGGGTGTCTGGATCCCAGAAAGTGGCTTGGTTGGGTCACTGAGCATGCATGCCTGAGTGCTGGGATTTTTCTAGATTTTCCTGGGGTGAGAAGACCAGGGAATGATTCTTCCCTTGATCACTCATGTATTCTGTAGAAGGTTCCATTAGGGCATCAAGACAGGTTCTGGACAGGTGCTCAATAAGCAATTACTAAATCAATGAATGAACAAACGAATGAATGATGGTACTCGGAATTTTGAGTTCAGCTGCTCAGCCAGCAGCTAGAGTGGTAAACATCATAGTCACGACTGCATTTGCTGGTTGGTAAGACATCTTATTACTTTCCCAGGAACAAACCCCAACACCACCTGCATCTTAGACATCTGAATTATGGCAACTCACTGAAGGCGTAAAGCAGAGGCATCATGTAGTGTCAGGAAGCAAATCCACACTAGATCACGACACTCTGCCCTATAGTAAGCTGTGTCATGGGACCAGATGGCATCCTGAGCTCTTCAAAACTCTACCAGAACTATTTCCAATACACGTACCATGAAAAAAAACACTTGGTTTTTCTTCCCCCAACAAAGTCCACATTAACTGAATGGCCAGCATGGTGTCTATATTCTACAAGGAGGCATTGTGTTTCATCTCAAAGTCAGCACCTCTTGGTTCTGGCGGGTCCTTGGGATTTATTTAGCCAGAGCCCCAACTTCCCCCCCTCCAGATGTTATAGATATGGGGCCCAGGAGGCCCCGAGGGGATACCCGAGGCATTGGTGACAAGAAGGGATGTTAGGGCACTTTGTCATTCACAAGGTGGGGGCACATTCGTCTCTCTCGAAAGGACCCTGACATGAGATATGAGTGCCCATTTTAAAGATGGAGAGAGTGAGGCTAATAGACACAGGCGTGTTTTGAAACCAGATCCTATGACTCCAGCTCACAGGCCTCAGGGTCCCATTTCTCAGACGAGAACATCAGGGCCAAAGCAGGCTTGAGAATGGAATCTGTCACCTGACCCCCAGAGTTTCCCATATACACCGTGCTGCCATCCTTGAAGAGAGGAAGGCCTGCCAGGTTCTTGCGTTTCATAAGTAGGACGTCTCCAGCTGACAGACCCCAAGGAGCGGCCCGTCCTCGTTCCCTCCTCACCAGGGTCTCCTTTAAGTTGCTTGTGAATAGAAACACCCCTTGCTTCTGTCTCCCCAGGACTGGACAGCGACTTCCTTGCCGTGCTGAGTGATTACCCATCACCTGACATCAGCCCCCCGATATTCCGCAGAGGGGAGAAACTGCGTGTGATCTCTGAGTGAGTTTGCATTCCAAAACTCGCAAAATTCCGGCAAGAGGATGAATTCAGTGTGGGTGGGAATCATTAGATGTTTAGCAATGGTTATCTAGTTCTACTGGGCCCTTGGTCCTATTGTGAGGTGAGATATTTGGCCCATACTGCAATCCTCCTCTTGAATGTAGCCGGTGCTCTAAAACCTTCCGTGGCTCTCTGTTGCCTGGGACACAACATTTAAGTTACATGACTTGGCTTTTGAGACCCTTTCTGATCCAACTTCTTCTCATATTGGCCTTGTCTCCCACTATATGTGCAGTGTGGATACCATGTAGTCATGAAGGCTGGAAAGGAGAACCCTGAGTCTGAAAACACTTCTGACAAGAGACAAAAAGTAGTGTCTTCTCTCTAGGGCTTCTCCAATCTGATTCAATATAGCAATAGAGCAGGGCAGGAGTTCTGGGCCTCTTTCATTTTATTGAGAACCTCACTGATGTCGAGACATGGAATTACCTTTGGTCATATTGCAGAATATTAATCAATAGAGTAAACACTGATTTTTTTAAAAGCTTCCAAGTTGGGAACATCAGTTGGGAACATCAGCTGGTAACCCTGAAAGGCACTACTGCCAGCATGTGGGAGGGTTTACCAGCAGACTTGGAATAGGGAACATCCATTGGATACGTATGCTTTATTTTATTTACGTATTTATTTGTTTTGAGACAGAGTCTTACTCTGTTTCTCAAGCTGGAGTGCAGTGGCAAAATCACAGCTCACTGCAGCCTCGAACTCCTAGGCTCAAGCAATCCTCCTGCCTCAGTCTCCCGATTAACTGAGCCACTGGTACACACCACTCAGCCTGCTTTTAAAATTATTATTTAATCATTTGCAGAGACGAGGTCTATCTATGTTGCTCCGGCTGGTCTCAAACCTCTGGGCTCAAGCAGTCCTCCTGCCTCATTCTCCCATAGTGCTGGGATTACACGCGTGAGCCACTGCACTTGGCCCATATACTTTCAAAACTAAATTTTCAGATGAGGGGAAAAATTCAGGTCCACATGTCCAATAACAGATTTTAAAAGCGGGGTGCCCCACCCGTCCTGGGTTAAATCTGACAACTCTGTTCATCATCCCTTGCTTTGCCATTTACCTGTCCCCCTGTCCCCCGTACCCGTCCATTCTTGTTCCCACAGTGAAGGAGGCTGGTGGAAAGCCATTTCTCTGAGCACGGGTCGAGAGAGTTATATTCCTGGAATCTGTGTGGCCAGGGTTTACCACGGGTGAGTCCACGTCTCAAATAGCGTCGGCAAGGTGTGGAGTTTACGCCGGAGACCCCTTAAGACAGGCCAGAGAGGGTCCAACATGGAGCAGGGGGAAGAAAGGCTCTGGGCCCAGGACAGGCATGTCCCCTCTGAAAAGGGCAGCTAGGGTGGATGAGTCCTTTCTGCTCTCTGGGACTTGACTTCATTAGTAAAACAAAGGAAGGGGAACTTTTGGTCCCAGCATGACGGTCCTGGCACAGAGCAGTAAACCCAGACCTTACATCATCCTCAGCCCGTATGGGTTCCCATCCTGCCTCTGTCACTTGGTGGCTGTGTGACAGGGCACAGGCTACTGAGCTGTCCGCGATCGCCCGTCCAATAGAGATCACAATGCAGCATGACAGGGGTCGTGATACATAATAACAAGACCAAGGCATGGGAATGCAAGGGCATGAGGTGGGGTGACGCCTGGGCAGTGCTGGAGCGGTGTCACGCCACACAGCAAGCGCCCCCCGCCCCGTGGTGGCGACATCCTTAGCAAATATCCAGAAGCGCTCGGAGGATTCTCACTGCCCACAGTGCCCGTGTGCCCAGCTTAGCAAGTGGGCAGGATGGCAAGGAGGAGCTTTAGAAAGCCAGGCTCGGCTGATGAGAAGACAAGCACACCGCTTCCTACTATCACTGTGCAGGGGAGGGCTTGCAGCCTCCTGGAGGCTTTGGGGCACAGAGCATGTGGACACAAAGCTTGGCTCCCCTCCTTCCAGGTGAGGGTCCTAGAAAAGTCGCTTAACTTCCTGGAGTGACACTGTCCTCATCTGTCAAGCGATCCAAACTGGAACTTAGCAAAGAAGTGCTCAGCGTATAGAAATGGAAGGAAAAGGGAGAGGAGGAAGAAGGAAGGATCTTTTTTTTTTTTTTTTGAGTTGGAGTCTCCCTCTGTTGCCCAGACTGGAGTGCAGTGGCACGCTCCCGGCCACCGCAGCCTCGACCTGCTGGACTCAGGCGATCCTTCTGCCTCAGCCTTCCAAGCAATCGGAACTAGGGACGCACGCCACCACGCCCGGCTAATTTTTGTGATTTTATTGTAAAGACGAGGCCTCACCAAGTTGCCCAGGCTGGTTTCGGCCCCCCAGGCTCAGGCAATCCTCTCGCTTCAGTCTTCCAAAGTGCTGGGATTATAGGCTGAGCCATCGCGCCTGACTGGAAGGGTCATTTTTCTAAATATTAAGCCACTTCTTCCTGTTTGGAGAAGGACTTTGCACGCCACTGCTCGTCGGATTAAGCGGTGATAACCCTCTGAACCTTTGAAGATGGGACTCAGTGCGTTTAGTTTCAGCACTGATGAGCTCCATCATGAACACCAGAGGCCATTTCTGTGTTTAGGATGACGAAGCTGAACAAGCCATGACTCTTCTGTATCAGCTGCTTGCCACGGATCATTCATTCATTAATCTATTCATTAGCAAATACGCACCAGCACCTTCATGTGGAAGATGTGAGGCCTGGGCAACTTGGCGAGACCTCATCCCAATAAATCAAAAAAATTAGCCAGCCAAGGTGACTGAGGCGGAAGGATCGCCAGAGCCCAGCAGGTCGAGGCTGCCGTGCTGCGGTGGCCGGGAGCGGCTACTGCACTCCAGTCTGGGCCACCGAGTGAGACTTCAACTCAAAAAGAAAAAAAAAAAGAAGATGTGAGCCTTCAGCCAGCAGGAGGGGGCATGGGGGAGGACCCAGAGGAGTACCTTACATTTGACCCTAGGGTCCTGCCCACGAGATGTAGCAAAGTTCTTTCATGTATCGAATAGGAAGGGAAGCAGTTACAGAATTGGGTGGCTCAGAAAATTACTTTCTAACTTGGCTCTACCAATTCCTGACATGGTAACTTGGACAGATCACTTAACCACTCGGACCCTGGGTATCCTTCTCTGTGAAAGTGAAATTATACTCCCTGTCTTTGAGGACTGAAATGAGGGGTGGGCTTCAAGTGCTTAACGTGGTGGGTGGGGCATTCCCTCCTTTACTGGAGTAGGCCTGCTGGGGATGCTCATGGCTGTCCCCTTCCTTCCCAGCTGGCTGTTTGAAGGTCTGGGCAGGGACAAGGCAGAAGAGCTGCTGCAGCTGCCAGACACAAAGGTCGGCTCCTTCATGATCAGAGAGAGCGAGACCAAGAAAGGTGAGCGACCTCCCACTCATCTGCCCACACTGGGCCAGACCGCCATTTTGCTCCCGGCTGACTCATGACAGGCCTTCATTTTCCTTCCTACACGCACACAAAGCCACCCAATGTGGTCAGCTCCCTGCAGTCCACACGCCGCCGGTGAGGCCCGCATAAGATCCAGGGGACCAGAAGCGGACACGGGTGCCCAGCTGGCCATGGCCACGAGCCTGGCCAACATCAGGCCCGGCCGACTCCCACGGGGACACTTTCCAACCACTGAAAACAAGCCCGAATGCTGGGTGTGGGCTGTGGCACAGGCCACCTGTGTGCCCGGTTCCGTGACTGACTTCTCCGGCCTCCGTTTTCTCATCCGCAAAATGGAGCAAAAACCCCTTCCTGATAAGGCCGTGGCGAGATTCAAATGTAATCATATTTGCGGTGCCCTTGCTATGTGGGAGGCCCCCAATGTCAGTTTCCTCTGTTCCCCGTAATTAAATTAGGCGGTTCAGTGAACCAGGGCAGGCAGATGTCCACTCTCACGTGGCCACCGCCATCTTTTTTTTTTTTTTTTGAGTTGGAGTCTCACTCGGTCGCCCAGACTGGAGTGCGGTGGCCGTTTCCGGCCTCCGCAGCCTCACCTGCTGGGCTACGGCGATCCTTCCACCTCAGCCTTCCGAGTAGCCGGAATTACAGGCATGTGCTACTATGCCCGGCTGATTTTTTGATTTATTGTAGACATGAGGTCTCGCTGCCCAGGCGGGTCTCGAACCCACGGGCTCAGGCAATCCACTCACCTCAGCCTCCCAAAGGCGCGGGATGACAGGCTGAGCCACCGAGCCCGGCCACCGCCATCTTTATCATGATCATTCCCCTGCCTCCTATGCGTTAAGTAACTCAGTAAGACTGCAAGTAGCACTGGCTCTCCGACATGTTCAGAGTCAGGCTCCTGAATTCCAGTTTCAGCCTTTCAGATGACCAAGACGTCACCTCCTCTTGCTAACCCTCAGGCCCCTTATCTGTAACATGGGGTTTACAATACGAAAGCGCTTAGTATCTCGTACCCTGTCGGTATATAGTGAGCGCGTAAACCTGGCAGGAGCAAAATGCTTAACAGTTAGAACTGTCCAAAACTGAATTAATAATAATGACTTTGGGGCAACCCCTTCGGGTCTCCTCCCACTGTGGGAGCTTTTCTGTCCTCTCAATAAATCCTGCTTTCTAAAAATAATAATAAGAAGAAGAATAGTAATAACGACTTTGTAAATAGAGCCAATAGCTTCAAGTTTTTAGCCTGTTTTTTTGCACACCTGCTATCAAAGAAGAGAAGACACAGCCGCCAAGAACATTCCCCGTGCACCTATTAAGTGCCAGAGTACCTCGTGCCGGAACCCTCCCACAAAATGAGCATCCACCTTGCTTTGGGGGAAGCAGGGTCATAGCTATGTGATGGAAAAAAAGAGCCAAGAGCAACTTTTTCCTCTAAAACCTGAATCTGCTGGAGTTCCACAAGATCAAAGCAAAGGCAAAATGTCCCATGCGTGTCCCAGGGGTCCCCTGAGGCAGGACACCCCAACTCCTAGGAAACTCCTAGGCAGGCCCAGCCAAGGGGAGGAGGACCCCCAAGTGGGTGCCACAGCTCTAAAAATAAAGAAGTCAGGGGCAGCTCTGCCATCTTCCTGGCTGGGTAGGCGTGGCTGCCCCTCCCTTGAGTATGCAAAGGTCTAATGATTTTCCACTAACTACCCTTAGCCTGCTGGGAAGGCACACCCAGGGTTGATTCTGGGCAGGCCTCGGGTGCTTGGAGGAGCCCTTCAGGGGAAAAAATTCATACCCCGGGCAGCGTCCTCAAGCTGTGCCGCTCTGGCCACATCCCTCGGGGCCTCTGAGCCTCTATTTCTATATAAAATATTTGGGGATGCTACCTCCAAGGGTCTTTCTGAGCATGAACAGAGACATTGATTAGAAATAGCTTAGCTGGGCTGGTGGCTCAACCTGTAATCCCGCGCCTTGGGAAGCTGAGGTGAGTGGATTACCTGAGCCCGTGGGTTCGAGACCCGCCTGGGCAACTTGGCGAGACCTCATCTCTACAATAAATCAGTTTAAAAAATAGCCGGGCATGGGAGCACGCACCTGTAGTTCTAATTACTTGGAAGGCTGAGGCGGAAGGATCGCCACAGCCCAGCAGGTCGAGGCTGCGGTGGCCGGGAGCGGCCACTGCCCTCCAGTTTGGGCAACAGAGTGAGACTCCAACTCAAAAAAAAAAGAAATAGCTGGACCCCCTGCCCAGCACGGACAGCAGAGACACAGGCAAGGCAGGCCCCCATTCCCCTCACGGCCTCTTTAACACCTCGCTCTGGGAACCCCAGAAGACAGAGCAGAGAGGACCCCTCAACATGACCTGAGGTCAGTGTTTTCACTTTCCATTTGAGGAAATTCAGGCAGTGCCCAAGGCTCCGCTCTTACCAACCCACCCTGGGCCATTACTCTAACGACTTGTAAGGAGAAACAACACACCTTTCACAGGTTTCTTAGAAAAATGTCTCAATTGCTCCAAATTTCTGAGAAAACCGAGCGTAAGTCAGAGGGTGAAGGGACCAGGCAAGGGGGGACATCGCTGTAAGGTACCTCTCAAATGGGTGATGTGGTGGTAGGTTCATTGCCTGGGACCTGGTTGGCAGGGGAAAGGATGGGGGAAAGAAATAAACAAAACAAAACTCTTGGAGTTTGCCCGGAAAAGATTCAAGAATGACTGTGGAACTGCAGGATACAACCAAACTCTAATCTAATTAAATCCAATTAAATTACTAAGGCAGCAAAAAATAAAAAAGAAAAGAAAAACAAAAAAACACCAGGCTGAAATTGACAGAATTAACAAGAAGAAAATGTCTCAAGAGGCAGAATGGGCCACTCCCCCTTAAACCCTGTCCCACCAATGCTGCCACACCACACATTTGAGGGATCCTTACCGTGATAGTCCCCTTCCCTGGTCCTACTCCCTCTCACTGATGGTTGGCTTTTCCAGAAATTTGAAGCAGTAGAGAAGTTTTTCTAAGAAATCCATGATTTTGACTCATCCGATTCATCAAATTACATTAAGCTCTAATCTAATTTGTCATCAGGAGTCTCAGAAGGACAGGGAAGACCCCAGATGGCTTTTTTGTTTGCTTGTTTTTTATTTTTTATTTTAAAGATGTGAGGTACAAGTTAGGATTGAGTACACAAGTGGTCTAGGTACAGGTGAAGCTCGGGCCTCCCTTTGGTCCCCACTTCACTTGGTTTGGGATCAGGTATCCTGATTGATGTCATGTGCCCCTGGCAGTGTCACTCCCTTTCTTGCAGTATTATGATAGTTGTTCAGGGTCTGCTTATGAGTGAGGACATGTGGTACTTGGTTCTTTGTTTCTGTGATAGATCACTGAGTATCACAGACTCCAAATCCATCAAGCAAAGAGACTAGACCTGTGTGTCTGAAAACTTGGACCACATCCGGGTTGAACACATCACACTCTCTCGTGTTCTCTAACAGGAGATACTGCTAAGCTGAGAGGGTTCCAGTGGTGGGAGGGGGCAGCGTCCCAGCACCCCAGCATCATGGTTGCCTTCCGGGGGCGGGGACACTTCTCTGATTCAGCCGTGGGGGACAGGCTGGCCAGGTGCCCCTGGATGGGACCGGGTGGAATGCACTGACCTGTCCTTGCCTTCCACAGGGTTTTATTCGCTGTCGGTGAGGCACAGACAGGTGAAGCATTACCGCATCTTCCGCCTGCCTAATAACTGGTACTACATTTCGCCACGGCTCACTTTCCAGTGCCTGGAGGACCTGGTGAATCACTATTCCGGTAAGAGATGCTCCACGAAGACCACCTGCCACGTGGTCTTAGCTAATTGCCCCGCAGCACCGCCATCAGTCTGGGATGTGGCAGGGTCACCCGTAAATGCCAGTGATTGACTCCCACCTTCCACCATGCAGCCTTCTTGAAACGCTCTCTGGTTCATTCCGTCTGTCAATTTCAGGCAGACACAGACAGCCCATGGATGCTGCTCATCTCAAATTCACCCCCTCTCTACCTGTAGATAACGATGGTTAGGGTGCCCCTAGATCCAACCAGCTTGCACTTCCTTAAGTGGGCCGTGCCTTGCCGAGTCTCTGGGGCTCCGTTCTGGAACGCCACTCATTTTCCCTTTCCTGCTCGTCCAAATCCTCTTCAGCCTCCAAAGCCAACGTGAACCCACCTCTGTGATGCAGTAGTAGCAGTTACAATTTGTTTCCTGTCTTCTCTGCTCCCTATCTTCTCTGCCAGGATCTCATCTTCCTAGCGATGTCCCCATGTGGCCGAGTTCATCAAGCACTAGCTTGTGTCCCCCCCACCCCAAGCTCTAAAGACTGGGAATTGTACTTTATTCCTCTGTGTATCCTTCCTGGACTCAGGAGAGAGAGCCAGTTTTTCCCAGCCTGACCTAGATAAGTAGCATCCTCCAAGATGGCGGACATCCAGTGTGGTTTTGATAGAGATGATGGTGCAGGGTTGAGCCAGAGGAGGGAGAGTTGAGTTAGACTGTGAAAGGTCTGAATGCCAGGTCTGGTGTTGGAAAAGGGAGAAGCTATGGAAAAAGGAGAATCTGTAAACAGTTGACCAAATTCCTAAAAGATGGCTCTGGAACCTCTGTGTTCATATCTCAGGCCTGCTCACCATTAGCTGGGCAACCTTGGGCCGGCGATTCACCTCTCTGAGCCGGCATTTTCTCATCTGTGTAATACAGACAGTAATAGCACCCGTCTCCTCAGGATGTCGTGAGGATTCAAGGAGTCAGTATATAGAAGGCAGGTAAAGAACGCCTGGCTCAGAACTGCGAGTCTTCTGCAAACCAGCTGCTGTTACTCAGGCATGACCTCACCTTCATTTTCTTCTTCTGCCAAATTGGAGGGAGGAAGAGGAAAAAGCCGAAGGAAGCTGCTTTGGCTTGGCCAGCGTCTTCTCTCTTCTGGGTTCAGGATGCTCGAGCTCACACCCCTGGGCTACTTGGCTGGCATTCTCTAGGATTCAGGGTCTTGCATGAAAGAAGAAAAGGGTATTTCCAAGCAAAAGGTGCCCACGGGCCTCTGGTTATCACTCCTGGCCACGGGAAGCAGCAGGGCATGAAGGAAAAATGGCTACACGGTGGGGGGGGCAGGACCATGCTTAGATCTGTGCCACGTGAGACCTTGGCAAGGCTCTGTGTCTTTGGAGTCATGGCTCCCCATTGACGGAGGAGGGTGACACTGGTCCCCTAGCAGATGACGGAATGAACGGTGATTAAACACGAGCGTTGATGTACCATGGTCAACACAGCCTGTCACGTAGCAGATGCAAAATAAACGATAACAAATCTGACTTCAGTGATAACCCGAGCCCGCAGCAGTTGGCTAAAAATGAAAGAGGAAGGAGTTCTGGAAACAGCCAACTTCTGCCGGGTATGAGCAAAGGTTGGTTGTGGTATTTGGCTTTTAACAACAATCATTGGAGGTGTATGGAGACCATAAGTTTTGCATAGACAAAAGCAAACATGAAAAAGATACTGCCCCAGCAAAGCTCCTGGGGACCAGGAGGCCACAAGGCTGCAAGGCCCGGTCGCCAAAGTCCGCCTGGGACTGCGTGGCCATGGGCGGATCTCACACGGATGGTGCACTCATGGCTTCCCAAAATATACGAAGGGGGACCCCCAAAAACCCAGGATTTATTTATAAAAACCTGCATATTTATTCTTACATGTTTAAACTTCAGTCACCTTTAAAGTACTCTCCGTTGGATGCAATACACCTATCAAGATGCTTTTTCTGCTGCTCAAAACAACTTTTGAATGAGTTCATTTGGATGCTTTTTAGTGCTTCTGCTGTTGTTTGTTTCACCTCTTCCACACTGGCAAAACGTATCCCTCTGAGGACTTTTCTCATTCTGGGAAACAAAAAAAGTCACTAGGGGCGAGATCGGGTGAAATAGGAGGGTGGGGTACAGGGATCATGCTGTTTTTTGGTCAAAAACTACTGAACAGCCGGGCTCGGTGGCTCAGCCTGTAATCCCGCGCCTTGGGAGGCTGAGGTGAGTGGATTGCCTGAGCCTGCGGGTTCGAGACCTGCCTGGGCAACTTGGCGAGACCTCATCTCTACAATAAATCGAAAAAAACCCCAAAAATTAGCCGGGCGTGGTAGCAAGCGCCTGTAGTTCCAGCTACTTGGAAGGCTGAGGCGGAAGGATCACCAGAGCCCAGCAGGTTGAGGCTGCGGCGGCCAGGAGCGGCCACTGCACTCCAGTCTGGGCAACAGAGTGAGACTCCAACTCAAAAAAAAAACAAAACAAAACTGCTGAACACTTAGCGTGGTGTGGTCAGGTGCACTGTAAAATCACCCATCATGAAATGGGCAGACGCATTGAAAGAATCTCCTAAAAAGAATGTACTGAAGCCGAATGTAGCCTCTCTCAACAACGCTGGCTGGTATGCTGATGCCGACGGGCTCCTAGAACACTTACCTAGTAGGGGAAGCCTGTCCTACAAGAAACCCACCCTTCAAAAGATAATTCTGGGTTTTTTTTGGAGGGGGTCCGCCCTCGTATTCCTGGCCACTGAGTCACTCAAAGGATTCTAGGCATCAGTTCACCTCTGAATAGCTGGAAAGGGTCAGAAAACCTGGAACAATTCCTGTGCTCCTGTAGGATCCCAGAGTGGAAACCTCAGGGCCCTTCCACCTCCCGCTGGATTCTTCCTACAGGCATGGCACAGAGAAACTGTGCACGAGGAGTCAAGCAGATATCTTTGTTTCACAGGTTGCTTGTATTTATTCATCTGCCACCTTTGGGCCATTTACTGAACATCTCAGAGCTGTTTTTGTTTTTTTGTTTTTTCATCTGCAAAACGGGATCACTCACATGCAACTATCTTCACAGGATCGTGGCTAAGATCAAAAATAAACCAAAAAATCACACATTTGAAAAGTTTGGCACCTAAAGTTTTCCGTGCATGGTGTTACTAAGAGGACAGAGGGGGTGGGGTAAAAATAAGTTTTAAAGTATGGCTGGAAAATGAGGGATGGGAAAACCCTTGAATGCAGCATTGTTGGTTGAGAGGAATGAGCATTCTGGCCAACTGTGTAGACGCATGAATTAGAAGAGGATGTCTAGGTCCTAGAGACAGCTGCAGAAAGTCATCCTTCTTCTAGGAGGCAATCAGTTGCTTTTGCAACGAGGCAGCGAGGTGGGTTTTGGTCCTGTTTCGGTGGCCCCGAGTAAGTGACTTGACCCCAGGATCTTCAGTTTTCCTCATTCCCCACATGGTCATAAAACACAGACGGCCCAAGGTTGGTTGGTTGGGGCCCCAAAGAGACCAAGTGAGGGAGGTCACTCATTGCTGGATCCCGTCACGAAGTGTTCATTCGCTTGCTCGTTATCAAAGCGTATTTTTCATCCTAAGCATTAACCTCTCCGTGGAAGGGCGTTCTCCACATGTCCCTGCCTGTGCCGTAGGCGGTGGCTGATTTCTCTAGTCTTTGAACTTGAACTTCGTCTTCCTCGCCTTATCACCCAGGGGGTCGTTTCAATTCCCAGCCCGTGGCAGGCCGTTATTTTAGACTCACATCCAATTAAGCTTCCCTCTCAACTCATGGTCTCACCTCCCATATCTCCGCGGGCGTCTGTGATCCTTCAAGTTCTTAGCAAAGTCAGACCGAAAACAATAAAAAGAGGCATGTCTGACTGCCTCCGTGACAGGCCGGGTGTGTGTCTCCAGCGACAATTTCCTTTTGTTCTTTAGCAAGGACACCCCAGAGAGCGCACCATAAATCAGAAGGAGGCAGAGCCTGTCAGGGGTGGGATACGCTTTCTAAAACCCGGTGACATGGTAGCTTCAAGGTCAGGGGCGGCTCAGTCCCACGGGAGACGAGCAGCCTCTCTCACCCTTGGTCAACTGACCTCCCGTGTCTCCCCTGGGGTGCAGGAAAAGCACTGGGGTCTTCAGCCTGGGTGAGACCACACGGAAGTCCCTCAGTCTGAGTACAGGGAAATCAAGTCTTTCTCATGATAACATGGGCTGGGAAAGCCTGCAAGAGATGGAAACCACCTCTTGTTTTCGTTGTTGTACTGTTTTCAGGTTGGGGTCTCACTCTGTTGCCCAGGCTGAAGTGCGGTGGCATGATCATGGCTTACCACAGCCTCAACCTTCGGGTCTCAGACAGTCCTCCAGCCTCAGCCTCCCAGGGAGCTGGAACCACAGGCGCTCGCCACCACTTAATGTGTCTAGAAGGATGAGGGACCTGGGAGCTCAGAGGTTTCATAGGAGCCAGGGGAACAAAGAAATGGGTTCATTTCCTCTTCTTTCTCTCTGTGCATGAGTGTCTAGAGTGGGAGAGAGGCTGTCCTCATTCTCCCTTTACCCATGTTCCCTCTTTTGCCTCATTGGTTTCCCCCCCTCTTGTGCTGCGTCTTCACACTTCTTGTGACTGTTCTTCCCTTCCCTCTCCCCATCTCTCTTTTTCTCTGACCTCGCCCCCTCCTCTGCCTCCCTGGCTCCTTTCTTTCATTGTTTATCTTCTCTTTCTTCCTACAACTGTACGCGGCATCCCCGTGATGGTTAGACACTCTTCTGTGTACTTGGGGGACCAGCGTGGCATACAGCTCCCAGGGTGTCGTTTCAAGAACTAACGGAATCGGGCCTTCATGGAAAATACTGGAAGGCCGAGGCCTCGCTTGGGCACCCACGTGTCCCCCCCGTTCCCCTCATTTTGCAATTGAGGAAAGTAAAGCTCAGAGAGGTTCAAGGTGTCATGTACGATCGTACAATGGGGCAGAGCTGAAATTTAGACCCTGGTTTGGCTGATTTTGGATCCCAAGCCTCCCTCTCTACCCGTGCCACGCTTCCTGCAGAGCACGTGGGGTTGCACTCACACTTCTCAAACAACTGGGTGCAGGATGACACTCAGCCTTGCCACTACCAACCACGCCCCTTTCCAATCCCGGACTGTTTCCTCTCGACAACAGACAGGGAGCTGTACTGACTGGCGTGTCAGGTTCGCACCCCACACCAGCACTCCATCCCCAGGGTCTCTGACCAGTTGTCTGCTTCCCTCCCCAGAGGTGGCCGACGGCCTGTGCTGTGTGCTCACCACGCCCTGCCTGACACAGAGTACAGCTGTCCCGGCAGCGAGGGCTCCCAGCTCGCCTGTCACCTTGCGCCAGAAGACCGTGGACTGGAAGAGGGTGTCCAGGTGGGTGTGTCCACGTGTGTGTGTGTATGTGCTCGGTGAACATGTGAGCATAAAACAGTGTGCATATGCCTAGCACATGGAAACCGTAGCCAGTGTCAGCCGGCCCTCGTGAAGCCTGGGGGGGTGGTATCTCAAGCAGGTATAGACCAGGGAATCCCACTGACATCCGGGACCCCTGGCAGGCCGATCCAGTCTCAGGGCTCACGGAGTGTGTGACTACTTCCCGCCAAAGCCCTCAGACCCCAGTTCTGAAAGTATATACTGAGCCCCTGTCCAATGTTAGCAGTGTATTTTTCAAGCTCAAATACACCACCTTGCTTTTTTCTATTATTAGGATCCTAGAACTCAACATACATCATGTTTAAACTAATATTATCTAAAACCCTCTCACAAAGTTTAAACACATCAGCAAAATCCCCGGGTGACTTTGTTTCTTCTAAGGGGAACAAAATTTTAAAAACATAATAATAATAACAATAATAATAATAATAAAACTTCTACTAATTTGTCTGTTTAGTCCATTGTCAGCTATTGAATTTTAAGGGATATTTGTAACTTGAGACTGTTGGGTTACCTTAATAATTAAACATTTAAACATTAATCCAGACATCCCATTGGAAAATTCAAAGAAAATCAGAGATCAAAATTACCTGAGAGATAAGTAAAACTGATATGCCTTCTAAATAACATAAAGAAATATCCACTAAAATTTAGAGTTGGGAGTTTTAGCCCTTCGAGAAAACAGTGGTTCAGACAGGTTAAGTGAGTTTTCCAAGATCGCACAGTTCACACACATAAGACCCAGAATTCAGACAATAAGTGAGAGAAATATTAATCAGGCTCTTCTCTTCTGCTTCCCTTCCTGTTCTCATTCTGTCACCTGCCATCCTCTCCTCTCTCCACGTCCCTCTCTGTCTCCCCCTCCTCTGGCCCCTTCCCTTCCGACTCGCAGATTGCAGGAGGACCCTGAGGGTGCCGAGAACCCGCTTGGGGTGGATGAGTCCCTCTTCAGCTACGGCCTGCGGGAGAGCATCGCCTCCTACCTGTCCCTGACAAGTGATGAGAATGCCCCCTTCAACAGGAAGAAGAAGAGTGTCTCCCTGATGTACAGTGGCAGCAGGAGGAGGCGCTCCTTCTTCTCGCCGCCCTACTTTGAGGACTAGCCAGAAGACAGACGCCGTGGTTCACGCCCAAGGGGAACAGAGGTTCCGACTCTCACTGGGACCTTGCACAGAGCAGGGCTCCCTGGTCCCCAGGGAGCCTCACATCTTCCAGAAGCCGAGAGAAGCCACAGGGAGACTAAAACTGGCATCTTCTCTGTCCACATCATGACCAAAGGAACCCCGCCCCGGTGTCCGATTGGTACTGTGGCATCAGGATACGCTGAATCATGACACACCAGGCAACACAGGGGGAGGTCCGCCATGTGTGTGTGCACGTTGTGTGTGTGGGAAGGACATGTCTCACAAGGACATGCACCAGGACCATTCTCCAAGCAGCTGTCCAGTCGCTTACACGGTGAGGTCACCAGAGAGAACTTCTTACGAGCAAGCCGGAGAGAGAGATGACCCCAAAGTGGTGACCTGACAAAGGTCTGGGCTTGCAGATGGATCGATTTTTTTAAACCAATGAACAGGTCTTGAATATGTGTCTTCTCTCTTCTGAAGGGAACTCTGTGACATTAAATGTTAACCTGAAGGACCCTCAGCCCTGAACCAGGGGATGCTTTTGGCATGCCCCTGCACCACAGCCACATGGGCAGAAGTCAGGTGGTCTCCCTGGTTCTGAAGGGGGCACTGGAAGTGGGAGGGGGCAAGCCTGGCATGGTGCCAACTTCCCACATGTCCCGCCACAGCTTTGCAGCGTGGAAGGTTCCTTGGGATGCTGGATTCTTGCCTGTATCAACGCATCAACTGTGAATTTAGAATGATCTGAAGAGGCACTAAGTTCAGTCCTAGAGAAGGTGCCAGGCCACACACTCACACGCAAAAGAAAAAAAAAAAGATGAATAAGCCACAGCGCCAACACAGGTGTTCCCCGGGGCAGACAGGGAGGGAGGCATATAAACACATAACACGCAACAGGAGAAGTCAAGGCATGGCTTCAGGAGGGACTTGAGGCAGGTGAGGGTGGCCTAGGGGCTCGTGTCCGCAGCTCATCTCCAGAGAGGGCAAGGGCTGGCTAGACTGAGTAGATAAGACTGCTTGGATTTTTTTAAAGGCATCAATGCCTTCTAAAGAGTGGATCCATTAGGCGTTTTCGTCTCAGAAAAGTCTGGCATCCACATGAATAAAAATGTGGAACTCGAGGGAAGTTGGGGGTCAGAGTGGACTGCTACTGTCATCTCTGATTTTAAGGGACGAGGGAGAAAACACATCACACAGTGGGAAAGGGAGGAGTGGGGATCCCAGACTGCCACCGAATCCTGCAAGGGAGGGAGGAGGCTGCAGACGGAGCCAGGACTTGTTTTCCCCATTTCACAGGGAGGTGGAGGGGAAGGGGTGCGTGCCTGTGGTCTCTCTCGCGGCCCACGAAGTCTGTCTGCTCCCACCAGCATTCCGTCCGCCTGAGCTCATCGTGCTAGTGGTATGTGTATATGCATTTCCCCGGCTTTCTGTATTGTCAGCTCCCAGCGTGTTTACACAAGGAGACATCTGTGCTTTCCTTCACAATCCCCAAAGCCTGTTTCAAAAGGACCAGCCAAGGCGTGAGAAACCAATGTAACACCTTGGACGTTGACTTTCACCAGCAGGCAGGGCGACCTCCTGAGCTCCAGATGTCTGTACAGGGTCTTATGTGTGATTTTCCGTCGTGAGGAAGGGGATAGGAACGTTTGGGGCGCACCCGGTGGGAGGGATATCTCAGTGGGAAGCATTACATTTTGCTCAATCTTGTATTTATTCCTGATTAAAATAAACCTAATACGTATTGAACCCTCGGCGTCTGGGAGCGCTTCTGGGTGGGGGTGGGTGACTCATTCAGAAACTCTGTGGGTTTCAAGATTTCAAATAAACGTGGAACTGGGAGTGCAAATGGAGAGAGGGTGGAACACGCAAGAACCCAGCGATGGTCACCAGGGCAGCATGTCCTTGAAGGACAGCCTCAAGAAAGCCAGATGGCGCCACTCGGTAGGGCATCTTATCAAATTTGAAGGTCAAGGGTGTGATACGCTTTCTAAAGCTCTAAAGCAACTGTCTTGCCTGGATTCTTCTGCATATTACTTGTGATACCTGGGCTGTTCGTGCTTTTGAGAACTTCTTTCTGCAAATGCTTTATTTTTGGACATATAGGACATAGACAGTGCTCCAGGTGCCGGGGCCATCGTTGTGGGAAGCAGATGGGATCGCCAATGTCACAGAGCTTGATGTCATAAACAAAAAACTTGGTGACCATGGTGAGGACAGGCCAAGGCAGCAGCCTGTCAGTCATGGCGTCCTTCGAAGTCATGCTTAGGAAGGGCCTCCAAGGGTGGCAACGTCTCAGTTGAAAGGTCTAGGAGGTGTGTGGAAACTCTAGGATTCGTGGGGCATCTCCCGAAGTCAGGAACAAGGCTGCCCACTGAAGGAACTAAAAGAAGACATGTTCATGGAGAGGCTGGGCTCAGGGAGCTGGGGAAGGAGGGAGGGCCCTCTGGGTGGGGGGAGTTAGGGTCCATTCCAGGAGAGGCAGGGAGGCATGGAAAAGGGGGAAGTGATGTCATCTCATTGATATGTTTAGAAAGACCACGGTAGTTGTTGTGTGCAGGAGGAATTTTTAAAATTCCAGCTTGTACTGTCTATTTGCTCCACAGAGTGTGAAAATAAAGGGACGGAAAATTTTTCATGAACAAATGAACAAAAGGAAAACCTGTTTTGCATTTTGAGACAAAATGGAATTTCCAGGTGAATGTGTATGATATAAGGGCGAACAGAGTTGTCACGAAAGAACCAATACATTAAGAAAAGATGATGGAAAAAAGAAAAGATGATTGCAACTGATGTCAATGGAATGATGTCGTTTCAAAGTACGTTAAGCAACTATGATAGGGACAAATAGATATATCAGCAAATTTATTGGGACATTTTAATACACAAATCTCAGAAACTGATAGCCTAATAAAAAGTAGGTAGATTTTGATAATACTCTAACTTTTCTGCCAAAAAAAAAAAAATGGGAGCCTCTATTAGGTCACAGATAAAATCCTAAGAAATTTGAGAGTTAGCATCTTTCACTCCCTGCTCTGTGATACTCATGCAATAAAATTGGAAACCAAATTGCAAAAGGATAAAAAAAATTCTAGACATCTAAAACCTAAAAGAATTACTCTGATAGGAAAGAAAATAATATAAGAAGAAAAATACTTGGAAATAAATGACATACTGCTGCTTTTCAAAATTCTGGTGCATAACTGACAAAATAGTACAAGGAAAACTTACTGCTTGAATTGCACGGATCAGAAAACAAAAAAATAAAAGTAGTGAGGTCAGTTTTCAACTCAAGAAGCTAAAAGATCAACAGACAGTCAAGAAAACAAAAAGAAAGTAGACAGTAATGATCCATAAAATAGATATTTTAAAACACAGCCATGGAGAAGATGTTAAAAATTGCTATAATAGTAAGGTTAACATGATGGATAAAAGTATAAAGAAGCATGACCAAGAAAGACAGTGAAGGAGAACAAAAGCAAATCAAATGCAGTTCTGCTTGTAATTCCACCGGCAAGAGGGAGTGTGCCCCTTCCTAGAAAAGCCCTAACTCAGCAGAGATGACTTTTCTCCCTCTCCATGCCTTCCCTTCTGTCTGGAGCCCCTGGTAGCTCAGACTCAACCTTGCAGATGAGGACAAGGCCCTAACGAATGACAGAGAAACATCTAGATAAAACCAGGCCTCTGAGTGATCAGGAGACATCTGGATTGCTCACCTCAGGAAATGTTATAAGAAAGAAACAACAACAATAATATCAACAACAAACAAGAGAGCTTACTTGTCCTCTAAGCTGGTGGGTCTCCTTGTTATAGGAGCTGAGAATTTTGCTCCAAGAGATACAGAAAGAAATCTGTCATTATATTGGGGTGATGAGATCACTTCGCAGAAAACTCAACGGAACCAGCAGGCAAAGCATTAGACATAATGAAAGAGCTCAGCAAATTGCTAAACCAACTTATTTCCCTATGCCAGTATTTACAAGCTGGAAAACGCAATGGAAAAGAAGACACCACCGTGGACAATAGCATCCAAACTACGGCACGTGTAGGCACTTGCCTCGTAAAAATTTCACAAAGCTTTTACAGAAAAATGTTCAAAACTCTATGAAAATGCCTAAGAAGGCAAACATACTATGTTCGTGGCTATGGTGTTAACCTGATTCATGGATGCAAGGCTCAACATCATAAAAGTGTAGATAGCTTTTTCTGAAATCGACTGATAAAGTCTATGAAACTATATTCAAATTACTGGTAGGGATATTAGAGAAAAAAAACCTCAACAAATGTATTCTAAAACACATATGAAAGCATCAAAGCCCATGAGTAGCTAGATCAATTTTGAATAGAAAAAGCCTAGGGAGACTGCCCACACTATGAGATATGCTGCAAAAACAATAGGAAACAGTGCTCTGGGTCCAAATCACCACCTCCCTCCTCCCTGCCATAGGCTTAACGGAAGGAACTCAGCACTCTCTGACAGGGGGCTGAGCTGAGAGCATTCAACTCATGTAAGTTTCCAAGCACCCAGTGCTAGGAGAATTGCAATGAGAGATGTTAAAAGCATAACAAGCATATAAAGTATGGCAGAATTCCTAAAAACTGCAAGATGGAAGTATTTTCATGAAGGTCAGATTCTTTGCATTTTGAGAGATGGGGGAAGGCTTGGAGGTTTTGTTTCAGCTGAGCCCTGAAGGATGGCCGGAATGTTCCAGGTGAACACTGAACATGCTGATCACAGGACAGAGATGCAAAACCCAGAGGAAGGTATGGCAGGGATCCCGGACTGTAGGATTTTTGTGGGAACAGAGCAAGACAAAGGGCAGGAAAATTTAGCTGAAGGCCGACTCCCAAGGCCAGGCGTTCATCTGGAGGAATGCAGAATTGGGGAAATGTCCTAAGACAGCAAGGGAAATGCTTGCTGGGTCCCATGAGTCACAGCCCAGAGAACATGACCTCCTCTGTCTTCTCTTCAAACTGGCCAGAGGGCAGAGTCACAGAATGCCTGTTTAAAACAAGCCTCTCTGCCCTTCCCCCAACCTGGCCCCACGGCAGGTAATATATCCTGGGACCTGCTTTCGTTCTCCCCTTGGTAAGGGAAGGGAGGCCCTTCCTGGGGTGTGCAGGCCACTTTGCAAACCTTATGTCATGACAACATCTTGGGACCTCATATTTGGTTTTGTAGATGAAGAGTGCACGGTGTCTTGGGCTCTTTCTCTTACACCTAGGCTCCTGAAGAGAGTCCTAGGCTCCTGAAGAAGTAGCTCATACTGAGGGAAAGCACAGGATTTGGCTGTAGGTTCTAGCCCCTATTGCAGCTCCTTTGCTGTGTGTTCTTTGGCAGGTCACTAAACCTCGCTGAGCCTTGGATTTCTTTTTTTAATCTCTAGATTGAAAACAACCTAAAGACCTCACACCAATCAATGTGAGGAATCCATAAGAGGAGATATTTAAAGTGCTAAATACGTATAAGCTATTAATTACCATCACAGAAGTTTGTCCTGACCAATATTTCAACAGTTCTGATCCCAAGACTTGCAGAGAGACTTCAGATTTTATCCAAGAATAAATCACCAACTCACACGCATTCCCCCAACATCTGCTGTAAAGAACACATCTAAGAACTGCTAATAGACAAGTATTTTAGTTCTTTCAATTCCAAATAATTTCACATGCATCCCTGAGACTGCTGGGAGCAGTTGTAAATGCTGCTTCCAAATGACTAAAACAGACGGAGGGTTTATTTTTAAATACACTGCCATTTGTTTAAACAGATAAGTTTCTGAAATGTCCCAAACACCTAAACTCTCAAAAAGAAAAATCTGCCTTCTGGGCCTTACGGGAAGGTGTTGTGAGTGTCTTATGGGTCCTAATGAGGATCTGGTTTCTAAATCCCTCTGTGGGATCAGCTCAACACAGGAGGGTCTGCTTTCAACACCAGGAACTCGAAGGTGTTTGAACTCAATCCTCCTGTCACTGATGTGGACCAACTTCAGAGGAACAGACAGAAGAAAAGTGGCATCGAAGGACAAGACTTGCAAGAAAGGGGTGGGGAGGGGGAACTGGACTAGCCTGGGGGTCCCTGAGCCCTGAGAACAGCATCCGAGCACTCTCCCCATCCTCTGAGTCCTCTGACCATGGTGAAGCATCTATTTCCTGAGAGATGTGCTCAAGGGTGCTCGGGGCCCTGTGGAGAGCAAGGCCCACCAGCCCTGCTGGGTTGGAGGTTACATTGCTCTTGGCACGAAGAGCAATGACTTCCTAATGAAAACCATGATCAATGCTGTCCAGGCAGCACAAGCCCTATAAGGGGGGTGCAGTTCTAAGCTGAACAGTTGGGAAGGCATCCCTTAAGGCCAAGGAGGCACAGAGGGCGACAGAAGAAACGTGCTCCATGCAAAGGAGACAGCACGAGGTGGAAGCGTACGTGAACTCCAAGGAACACCAAGGCAGGAGGAGCGAGATAGAGTGGCAGATGGCACTGCTTCCTATTGGCAGTGGTGATGTCACCATCTAGCATCGGTCATGCCCAAACAATGACACTTTTCCTGCCCTCCTCTGAGCAAGGGTTTGGATCCCAGAAGGATAGGGTGCAGTTGTGTGCTCCTAGAATTGCCAGCAGGGCAATGAGGGCTTCAGCCCACAGTGCTGGTCTCAGTGTTTCCCCATCTTGCCTTCACCCAGGTGACTTTACCGTCTCTGATTATTTTTCTGTCTTCAGTGCTGTCGCTCTTCAATGCATCCTCCACCCAGTTCTGCAAGACCTCTTCCTAAAGGGTATCTCTGAGCAAGAATTCTGCCTACTTAACAACCTACTGATGGCACGCCCGTGTTCACAGCAGAACTGGTCGCTATAGACAAAAAGGTGGAGCCCAAATGTCCATCAGCAGATGAGTGGAAAAATAAAACGTGTTCTATCTACACAGCAGAAGATTATTCAGTCTTAAAAAGGATAGAAATTCTGGCACATGCTACAACATGGGTGAACCTTCAAGATGTTATGCTAAGTGAATAATAAACCAGACACTAAAGGACATATCTTCTGTGATTCCACTAATGTGGGGTATCTTTTTTTTTTTTGAGTTGGAGTCTCTGTTGCTCCAGCCGGAGTGCAGTGGCATGCTCATGGCCACCGCAGCCTTGAACTGCTGGGCTTAGGCTATGCTTCTGCCTCAGGCTTCCAAGTAGCTGGAACTACAGATGTACACCACCATGCCCAGCTAATTTTTGTGATTTTGTCATAGAGACGAGGTCTCACCAAGTTGCCCAGGCTGGTCTCCAACCCTCGGGCTCAGGCAGTCCTCTCCCCTTGGTCTCTCAAAGTGCTAGGATTACAGGCTGAGCCACCATGCCCTGCCTAATGTGGGCTATCTTGAGCAGACACGCCGATAAAGACAGAAAGTAGAATAGAGGTTGCCAGGAGTTGAGAAAGCGGAGAATGGGAAGTTCATGTCTCATGGGCAAGGAGTTTCTGCTGTGCTGGACTCTGAGGAACATTAAGGCTGGTGATGATGTCTGCACAACATTGGGAATGCCCTTGATGCCATTGAACTGGACACTTAAAAACTGTTAAAACCATAAAATGAAACAAACAAGCAAACACAAACACACAGCCCCCCCATGTGCTCAGGATAAAACCCAAGTCGTTCAGATCTATCTAGCGCCTCTGCCTACACGGCCGCCACCAGGGCTCATCTTCCAAGAGTTCCCTGTTTCCAGGGTTCTTCCTGTAGTGAAATGCTCATACAGCCATCAGCATTTAGGTCAGACATTCCCTCTTGGTGCACTTGTTCCTCCACAGTCCCTCCTTCCCCTGCGCTTGGTGGGAGGCTTCTCTTGGGGCCACCCTAAGATCCTATTCTGAATCGGCTTTAAGTTTTTGCCCCTACCCACCACTAACCAACCACAAGTTTCCCAAGTCCTGACACACGTATTCTTTATCATGCCATTTCCAGCATGAATCGGATGTGCGACAAAACTGGAAATTGATCAGTGGCAGACCGATAGACCCCAGGACTCAGGCTGTGACTGACCGGGTTATTTCTTTCATGCGAAGTATGGTCATCATCCACATCATTGTATCACTGTCATCGTGACATTCTTACCATTGTCGTCGATACCACCGTCACCATCACTATGGCTATCACGATCGTCATTCTCACCATCACCCTCACCACCCTCGTCACCTAGCCGGCACTTCAGACTATCCAGTAGCATGTGAGTAGTGAGTTCTTCTCTTTGCCTCCATTCAACGACAAGGGAAACGATGAATGGTTCAGACCACTAAACCATAGTGAGGCACTCCCAAGGAAAAGAAGCACTTGGCCATCGAGAAGTGTCAGCACCTTAGACAGCAGTGGAAAGTAGTCGGGGCGCCCTTGAGCACCTTGGAATCATACGTACATGGAAAGATGGTTGGCACTAGCAGGTCCCACACTCGGGACAAAGGATAAGGGACATCCAAGACATTGAACCCAGTGGGTCTCGTGAGTCGGGGAGAACCACCTCCCCCCGGCCCGTGTCTGCAGTAAGACTGAAAGTGAAATATGGAACTCACCATCAGAACAGCCCTCCGGAAGAGTCTGGAGTTGGTGTTCCCGGTTGCAAGAAGATGGATGCTGGCCACATCAGCCCCGCCACGGTCTGCTGCCAGAGACACGCGCTGAGGGTCTCCACCAAATGCTCCAATGTGCATCTGCACCCAGGTCAGAGCTGCCACCTGGTCCAGCAGCCCCCAGTTGCCCCTCACGTCTCCGGACCCTTCAGAAAAAGGAATGGTATTTACTCTTGGTGATTTTGCAACCTTGGATTTCATAACATGGTGCTGTCTATGCCAGGCACGTGGCTCCCCCAGAAGTTTGGGGCCCTGAACCCATGGGTCAGGACTGTGGGTTCCAAACACAGTGAGGGACGGTGAGAAGAATATGGGCTTAGCAATCTAGTTTAGTCTTTGCCAGCTAGGAGACCTTGGATGTGTCCCTTCACCTCTAGGCTACAGTTGCCCCTTCGCTAGGTGGGGGTAGTTGCTCAGATCAGAGTCCATGAAAGTTCAGGTCCTCCGCCAGCTCCCCCATTGCTGGGAAGGAGGTAAGCTCTTTGTCCCTGGTCTAGGGCCCCACTGCAGGTGGCTCTCCTGGGCAATGGCCAGGCCAGGCTGGGGCTCCGAACTCCATTCCTTCCCCAGCTTCATCCTCTCTGGCCTTTAATAGTTTGCAACTGACTCGATCTCTTTCCTTTTTTGAAGACGTCAGTACACGTCTTTTGAAAACCCAGAACGATTTTTTTTTAGTGAAATGATTTAGACACAAAATGTATAGCAAAACCATAATCTTCTTGCTGGCATTTTGGGGCACCACATGCCCACACCCTTCCGGTCATCCTGTGGATTCAGTGAATCCTCCTTGTCAAACTTCTCCGCTAATATGTCATCTTTTTTCAAACCTCAAGACACCAGATCTCGTCCCTGTCTCATCAGAGGTTTCCATACTTCTTTTCAGACTTTGCCCTAAGAAACCCCATCACACCCCATGGCTTCCACCCTACCTACACACCGATGACTGTTGGGTAGCCATCAGTAGCCCAGACCACTGTCTGAGCTCCAGAACCCTCACATTTCTCCACGAGTCACCACAGTCATGATGACCAGGGTCCGATGTCCAGTAAGAAGCTACTTCCAAGACCCCATATTCCCAAAGAGAAAAGTCTTGTGTCCTGTTCCCCAGTCTAGAATACACGAAGCTGAAGAGAACACCAGCTCAGAGGGCATCACAATACACATGACTCTTCCACCTGGGGAGATATTCAGATTTTCTTCTAATGTGTTTTACATGCTGGGACTGGCGAAGCTATTGGGACCACGTGACCCTGACTGTAAACTTATCTGGATGGCTTGTGTGTTCCATCTGTTAGGAACAGAGGCATCTGTTTCCTCCTGGGTCTCAGGTTGCCCAGGAGAGCAGGGCGCCCACTGAGTGGGACAAAGTCCTCCAAACCTGTGAAGTGACGTTCCCAGCCTGTACCCCAGAGACCATGAGGAGAATGTTCCCGATTCCCCGTTCCCACATATGAGCTTCCCACTACCACAAAAGGGCCAGTGCTGACTTCTAGAGTCTACAGTCCTAGGTCAGAGATAAGGGCGCGCTCCAGGGGTCACTCCGCAAACAAGTACGAACGGGACTTCACCTGGGGCAGGCACTGTAGTAGGGACCGAGGAAAGCAAAGGACATCCTAGCTCTGAGGACACACAGCCTCAGGGACATAACGCAGAAGGCAGCTGGCAAGCAGTTAATGGTCTGAGACGTCTGGTCCAACCCTTTCCTTCACTGGTGAAAAATCTGAAACCTGAGCGGGAAAGAGCTTGTTTCGATGTAAGGAATGACTCTGTGGTCAAGGTGCAACTCAAATCCTGACTCACGACAGAACTCTGTCCTCATATTCAACCCAACTCAATGGACATTGGTTGAAAAATCTATGAGGTGCATTAAAAAAGGTGAGTGCTCTATTTCTGGAAACTTCTCTGCCCCCAAAGCCTTCATTACTCCCTCATTCCTACTGCATTGAGGCTGAACACCTTCCTGGCTTGCTTTCCAGACCCTCCATGCCATGCCGTCAGCCTGCCTGATCCAGCTGGGCCCCCGTCCCTGCCCACGTCTGCTCTGCTTCCGTTTATGTGCAGCTCAGCCTGTTCCTCTCGTCCTCAGGATCCTCCCCAGATACCTGCTCCCTCAGGCATGCCACAGGCACTCTGTGTCCCTGTCCTTGAGCTTTAAGACTCAGCAGCCCTAGAAGCAGGGCATGAGTGGGCTGCTCCCGGCAGCCTGGAGGGAGAACCCACACAAATGAAAGATTTCTGAACTGGGGGTAGCACTCCTCTCCATCCACCGTTGCCCACCCTGCCCTGCCCGGCACCTCCAGGTTCCTACTCCTCTGGGTCAGGACAACTCAGCAAACATCCAAATGGTGTCCTCCCGGTCTGATTGGCTTCTTTGCTCATTTGATTTCTCCTACAATCCGACAGAAGCCCTTTAGCACAGTTCTGGGCTCCCGGTGGGTTCCCCGACCAGCCTTGTCAGAGAACAACAGCAAGAGGCCGCATGGCGGGCAGCTCGGGAACCAGACCAGCGGACTGCATCCCGGCTCCACACTTACTAGTTCTGCAGGTCCCTGGACAAGTGACTCCACCTTTGTGAGCTTTGATTTTCCCTGCTTTGTAAAATGAGGATGATCATAACACGACTCCCACTAAGATGTAGAATAAATTAGTTAATATGTGTAAAAGAAACAGAACAGTGCCTGCCATAAGGCACTATAAAAGATTAATTCTTGCTGGGCATGGTGGCTCACGCCTGTAATCCCAGCACTTTGGGAGGCCCAGGCGAGAGGATTGCTTGAGCTCAGGATTGCTTGAGCTCAGGATTGCTTGAGCTCAGGATTGCTTGAGCTCCGAGGCTCCGAGACCAGCCTGAGCAACAAAGCAAGACCCTGTCTCTACAATAAATCAAAAAATTAGCCGGGCATGGTGGCTTATTCCTGTGGTTCCAGCTGCTTGGAAGGCTGAGGCGGAAGGATCACCTGAGCCCAGCATGTCGAGTCTGTGGTGGCCGTGAGCAAGCCACTGCCCTCCAGCTTGGGTGACAGAGTGAGACTCCCCACTCAA